GGAAGGCGAGAGTTGTGTTCCTTGAATGTCATGGATCTTCTGTGCCTGAATTTCCTTCAGTGCTGGCTGTGGTTCCCATTGGAAAGGACAGCTCTGGCCCTCCTATTCCCTGGTCCCTGGTGACAGTGGTGTCCCTCTGACCCATCCACCCCCTACCTCCCCATCCCACTGTTGGCTTCTGCTCCCAGTGTGGGTCCAAGCTTATCCAGAGCAGACAAAGCCAGGACAGAGCTCTGTCCTGGAGTGCCCTGCCACTGACATCCTCTTTTTAGTTCACATAACCTCACATAGGCGCCCCTTCAGGTCTGCTGTCAGACCCTTATCACTCACTGAAGATCTCTGGACAAGAAGCCTTACAGCTCAGGCCTCAACCAGGTGTTTTCGCCCTAGGAACTCAGAGCTCTGGCTCCACCTGGCTGGTACCCTAGTGGGCTGTAGCCCTGGGCAGCCAAGAAGGTAGAAAAGCTGTGGCAAGGTTGTTGGCAAGCAGTCTTGCACACACTGTACCCCAGAGGTTGGCACACTCTCAGATAGCTCAGGCCCAGGGCTGTGGATGCCAAGTGTCTAGGGGGAACTGACTTGCAGTGTGTCCCCCTTGCTGTCACCCTTGCAGTTTGTTATCCCTTTGGGCAGCTAGTGATGTGGTTTCCTATCCAGAAAAGACCTGTGGGGTCCCATTTGAAAATGTTAACACCAAGTAAAGAGTGGAATACTACCATGGCAGTCCTTATGTTCTAGAACACCCTGGAATGTGGTGAGGTGGTAGGGAGACAAAGGAGAGGCTTAAACTGGGGCTTGGGGCATGGGGCATGGTTGGGGCATGGAGGAAGGTGCTGAGCTGCCTCTGAAGCAGTTGCAGGAGACCAACATGGAGAAAGTTGTCCCTGATGGAAAGCAGGCACCACAGGTGCAGGAGCAGAAGTAGAGGCTGGGCTTTGCTCACAGAGGACCTTGGGCAGTTGAAACCACACTCTGGTCCAAAGTCCCCTCCACCCAGAACAGGGCCTGAGGCATCCTCCCCAGGCAGTGGGACCAAAATTCACACTAGCTCAAGGATTCTCTGCTCTCTGGCTCTTGGAATGGCAATCAGTTGTTTCTCTAGGCAGTTTTTAAAAATAAAAATGCTGATTTTCTTCATCACGAAGTACAAACAGAGTGGACATGAATCTGTTTAGGAGAGTAGGCAGCTCAGAGGCCTGGCACATGGTCGCAGGAGGGCAGGTAAACTGGGTGGAATTACAGCTAATTACATAAGCAGCAGAAGCTTACATGGGAGATGGGGGTGTAGCTCACGAATAAAGCCCTGGATCTGAGCCCAGGAAAAAAAAAAAAAAACCCAAAAAGCAAAGAAACCCCTCAGACCCTGTGGCAGCCCTGGCGCCAGTTAGGATCCGAATGCTCCAGGAAGCCCTGCTAGGATTTGTGGACTCTGCCTTTGTGAGTAGGTAGGTGCTTCCACTAGCCCCTGGGCCTAGACCCCACCATATGTCCAGCAGATCAGGTGGACACCCATATTGGTGGGCAGCTGGATGCCGCTGCTGCCCCCACCCTTGGCCTTGACCCCTGCCAGCCAGACGCCTCTGTGTGCTGTTTGGCCCCTGCAACAAGGTGGAGTTGAGTGGTGTCATTTGCCTGTGATGACAAGGAGAGCCCACCCCACCCTGGTAAAGGTCACTCTACTGTTGTTTGTCCATTCTGAGTTGATTCACTGTCTCACTTCCTGCCAGAGAGATCTGTTTTTCACCTTCAGGATGAGCCAGAAACTTCACAGTTGAGAACCAGGCAATGCAAGGAAGGGAAATGGAGGTCACTTTCTGGGTCAGGCTAGAGTCTGCATGCAGTGACTTCTTGGGTGGTAAAGGAGGTAACAACAGAACAGTTGGAGCTTCTGTAGTCCTGCAAATGTCTCTGGGCCTCCTGAGAACTTGTGATGACCTGAGTCAGAAGCGAGGAACTTTTCTGCCTCCTGAATTAATCTTTTAACTTCTTAAACCTTCCCTCTTCAAAACTAGAAATTGACTGCTTGATATAATCTGCTCCCTTTAAAAATTATCATTAAATGCTGCAAAACATTTAGTGGATGTGATGGATTCAGGTACTGATCAGAGTAGATTGGGAGCCAGGAGGTTTAAAATGAATTCTTCTTCAAAAGCTGCTTCATCTTCTTCAAAAAGCAAAACCACATGGAAGATGATATCTGGTTGACCAGTTTATTTTCATTTATTCCAAATGCCCACTATCCTGATGACAGCCAAGTGAACAAATTCTCCACAGAACACAGAAGGTGCATCCAAGGGGTGACAGCCATTGGGCGGGGCTCAGTCTGGGAAGTGAGTGCCGCCCTCACCTTCTCCTTGGCATGGGCTTCAGGAGCAGAGGCCCCTCGGGTCAGGGGTGGGGATGTCCATGGAGATTTGAAGGGAAGTGAGAAAATGGTCCTGTAAGTGGGAAGGAAGGGCCCTTGTGTGAGGTGGAAATTTTACCAAAGCAGTCACCTGTGGTAACATAAGACATACACCCAAACTTTTGAGATAGGATATGACCCTGTCTGTCCATCTCCCTGGAGAATTGCCTTCCTGAGACCATGAGAAGGACAGAAGGAGCCATGAGCCAAGTATCACAAGAGCTTATATGGACAGGTCTTGGTGTGATGAGACTAAGTCACTTGTGATACAAATACTGACTGACCCTCTCCTTAGATGGCTTATTATTGCTATAAAGCAAAATGTCTTTGACATTTCCCTCCCCACTCATCGTGCATGGCAACTTCTCTTCCATCATCCAAAACCACAAACCTTCTCTTTCCTTTTCCTCCTCAGTTCTTTCCTCTCTCCTCTATGTGAACCTTGGACTTTCTCCTCCCCACTTTCTTCCCATGCTTTGTCCCCATGGAATAGCACCGAAGCTCAGGAGCTGAACTGAAAAGTGGGGAAGGGATAGTGAGCGCCCATCCTGAGGCTGCTTCTATGAATGAAGACACCCGGCACCCAAGTCTTTAGCCCCAGTACACTGGCAGCCTCTCTTTTGGGTTCCAGAAGAGTCCATTCATTTTCCTGCCTGCCAGGGTGGCCTCCTAAGTCTGTTTTCTGCCTGTATTCCAGTCTCTCTGACCCTTCAGAAGCTGAAATCACCCAACCTGGAGCCCTGGTCTGACCCTACACAGTACCTTTTTCTCTTCAGGTGAAAGACAGGCTCGCTGGGAGCTGACCAATGTGCTGTCCAGGAGGAGGCTACTATTTCCACCTTGCCTTCTCTCAGTGTGTGCACCAGCCAAACCAGGATCCTTCTGCTCCCAGGATGTTCCTTGCCTCCTCAGTGCTGGCGTTGAGATTCCCTTTTCTTTGCTTCCATCTTCTTTTTCCCATCTCTCCAAGGCCAGCCACCCTCACACCTAGGCTTTGGCCCAAAACTTTGGCCCAGGCTTTGGTTTTGCCCTTGGGGAAGCCTGCCCTTCGCCTGCTCTGGGATCCCCTCCCCTCACCATCCTCCCACTACAGGCTCCCCATCACCTCTCCATTTCCTAACATACCCACTATGAACTTTCCTATTACCTGCCCTTGTTTGTCCTGTCACTTCTAATGGATCCCAAGTCCATAAACACCGGGCTCAGCTGTCTGAAAACCACAGTGCCAACCTTTCCATCTATCCTCCAGGCAGACAAATAGAGTACGAGAAATACCAGGGCAGTTCCTGTGTTCCAGGAAAGGTAAGCACGTCTCTGGGCCAGGACCCTGCATGCTGCTCCTGGGGTCTCGTCTTAAGGTTGCTCTGTGCTTTAGATGGGCGTTGGCAGCTGAGCCCCAGGCTCTTGCTTCTCATGCAGTATGGAAGGCTCCTGTGTGTCCTGTTGCCTTTTTTTTTCCCCCAACGTGGTTACCTTAGCTGCCTTGTGACAGGTGACCAGAACAAAAACAAAGGCAGGAGAGAAAAGCTATTCTCCACCTATTGGGAGTACCTGGCTATGGTAGGGAAAGGAATAAACCCGTACCCTGTATACCAGGAGAAGAGGGCCACGGTGGAGCCCAGTGAACCTGGCAAGAGCATAAAGTGTCCTTGCACTTCATGCAGGAGAGGAACTGTAGAGGAGAGAGGCACCTAGGGAAGGCAGCTGTGGATAAGGAGCAGCGGCGGAGGAAAGATGGTTAGGAGAGCGGGGAGCTAGAGCAGAGTAGTAGCTGGGAGAGGGGAAATTATTCATCTTCTAAAACTGAAGGCCCAACCCCATTAAACAACTTCGTATTTCCTTCTCCCCCAGTTCCTGGCAACCCCCATTTTGTTTGCTGTTTTTATAAGTTTGACTACTTTAGCCTCCTAACCTAAATGGCATCACACAGTGCTGTACTTGCAGTTTTGTGACAGGTGCAGGTCATTAAAATTCAGTTCACGTGACAGGAATTATATTCTGTCACATGAACAGACTGCATTTGCTTATTTTGCTTATCAACTCATCCATGAGTGAACCCTGGGATTACCTCTTAGCTTTTAGCAATAATGCTGCTCTGAATGAAGATGTGCAAAGACTTCTTTCTTTCTTCAGGTTTCTTCAAAGTCCTGCTTCTATTTGTTTATTTGTATTTCTTGGAAGAAGTTTGTGGATCCTGGGAGGACCCTGCCTTCCACTCTGCCACCCCAAGAGCTTATGGTTTACACCCACTGTTGCCATCGTATGCTTCCTACCCATGTATGAAATGCTGGGTTTAAAGTCAGTTGTGCAATCTCTAACTCCTAAAAGGCAAAGAATTAACATGTATTGAATGCTCATTATGTGCTATGCATGAACTCCCCTCTTGGGGACACTGTGCAGAGGCAGTTGAACCTTGAGGTCTGGAGCTGGTTCCCCAGCAGGCATGGTCAGGGCAGCATCCTCAACGTGGGGACCATAGTGTTCCCCTCTGCAACAAATGAGCCCCTGAGCTCCAGGCCCACCCTCTATGCCTGATACATTATTGCAGGCATCCAGCGGAGCATAATCTGCTCACTCAGGTGTGTTTTCCCTCTAGGTGAGCGAGAAAATGTAGCGGATCAGCAGCACAGGCGACACCTGCCAGGAGCTTGGCGTGGACACCCCAACCTAGACGGAGCATCCGCCCCTGGGTGTCCCTCTGGCCATCCAGCCTCACCATGTCAAAGAAGGGCACAGGCAGCCGGGCCAAAGGAGACAAGGCGGAGGCTCTCGCTGCTCTGCAGGCCGCCAATGAGGAGCTGAGAGCCAAACTCACAGACATCCAGATCGAGCTGCAGCAGGAAAAGAGCAAGGTGGGCCCCCAAAACCCCGACCTCCAGCATCCCTTTCCCACCTTCCCCACCTGCCCTGGCACCAAGAGGCTCTGCCTAGAGGGGATGTCTCCATGTCTCTACGGAGTAGCCCATGCCCCTTGCCTTAGAGGTTCCCAAAAGTTCTCAGAGTGGCTGGAAACAAATAGTTCTGGGGAGGGGAGTGGTGAATGATGGGAAATGGAGGGCCCTGCAAGCAGAGGTGGCCACAAACCCAAGGGTGGACACAGAGAGAACCCCATCACATGGGACAGCCCTCCCACACAGGTATATGACACAGGACTTTGGAGACTCTGTCAAATAGCATGACCTTGGAACTGACACTGACTTTCCTACTGAAGAGCTTAGAGTGGACTTGAACTGACTAGAATGGGCCAGTGTGGCTCTTCTCTGTGAGTAAAGGGAAAGATGAGCCATGAAGTTAGTGTTTCTTGGTATGGAGGTGCAGCATCTGTGATCATCTTTTGAGATGCTGGAGCAGGGTGTCTAGAGTTTGAGGTCTTCACACCTGTACAAGGTGGGGAGGAAAGCCTCTGGGGAAGAGGGTAAAAGGTTTTCTCACTGCTGGGCCCCTGCCTCAAAGTTCCTCCATCCTTGGAACAACACCCTTTTCCCTTTCTTCCTTCTACCCAGAAGCCCTTAAAAATGCATATGAGCTTCCAAGAAGGGGGAGGCAAAAAAAGAAAGGTATGGAGAGATGTTCACCCTTTAGAAAGGGTGAACCCAGAGCAGTTGTCTGTCTCTCCGATAGGTAGGAAGGTCATGGGTTGTAGGTGGGTGGTATACCACTGTGGGCTGTAATTCTCTCCTCTCCTCCTTCCTGACCAGCAAAGATGTCTCTCAGGCCGGCCACATGGTCAGTGATGGAGGGAAGTTGGGTTATTCTTGGCCAGTTGCTTGTTCTCTGAATGACCCAACCTCCTGATTGCACCAGAGAGTCATATTTTGTGGTATGTGATAAGTACATGGAACTTAGGTTTCAGTGTCCATAAATTAAGTTGTGTTAGAATACATCCTTGTTCTCTCTTTATGTATTGTTGGTGCAGCAGACTTGAGAAGCTTCATATATTTACCATCTGGCCCTTCTCCGAGGAAGATTGCTGGCCTTGCCCTAGTTACAACAGCTCTTTCCTGCAAAATGAGACAAAAATGGCACCCACCTCCAGGTGGTGGTGAGGAAGAAATGCTGGGATGTGGCCTGCTCTGAGATACTAGAAGGTGGTGGACACAATGACGTCCATCTCCTGTGGTCCTGAGGGTCTGCTCTCACTCTGTGGAGGAAATGCTCTTCCAGCACCTGCTCTGTGGCAGGAGTCCATAAAGTCACAAACAACAGCATGCAAAAATCCAGACTCACTGACTGGTTAAGCATAAGGTCAGAGTACAAATGTCACCTGCCCTAAATTGGGGAGTTGCTCCGGTTGGACAAACCCTACATTACCATATAGTGTGCCACATGCAAAGCCACAGACATTTTGTTTGTCCTCTTGTCAGTCCCATTTTGTAGATGCAAAATAAATAAATAAATAAAAACAAGGAACAAGTGACTTGTGAAGAATCCAATGATAATTAAATTCTCTGTTTTATTGAGTGTGTCAGTCAGTGGTTTGTCACTGTGACAAAATACCTAAGATGAACAATTTAAGGAGGAAAGGTTTATTTTGACTCAGAGCTTTGAATCTAGTCAGTCACTTGGTTCTGTTGTTTCTGGATCCAAAGTGTCATAGCGAGGAATGCATGGTATGACAGAGAAGCTTACTTTATGGGGAGCAGGAAACAAAAAAGGCAGAGAGAGAAGTAGCCAGAAAGGAACCAGAGGAGACAAGATATACCCTTCTAGACAGGACCAGTAACTTGCTTCTTTGAACTGGACCCTATCTCCATGATTTTTACCACCTCCCATGGTCCTTTAAATTATGAGCCCATGAGTGGATCAACCCATTGACCCCACACCAGAGCTTTTGTGAGCCAGTAACTTCCCCCAACCCCTCCACTGAACACTGCTGCATAGGGAACCAAGTCTTCAACTCAAGAGCCTTTGGGGGACAACTTATATCCAGATCATAACACTGGGTGAGAATATATTGACAATGATATTTTTAATGCAAGTACGCACCATCTCGTGGAAACCACCTAGGGCATTTAGACCTTTTGATTTTCTGTGGCTACATCAGCCCTGTCCCTTTTTTTTGAACCACATCTGCAAGTGTGCATGCAGGTTAGGTGCTTGTGAGTGGGTTTGCTTGGGCATAACACTTCCACGTTTGCAGGCTGACAGTGGCTGCCTGTCTTAGTTACTTTTTACTCGTTGTTGAGACAGAATACCTGATGCCCAAAGTTGGGAAAGGAAAGGTTTATTTCTTACAGTTTTTGGAGGTTTCAGTCCATACACAGTTGGCTCCAAAGCAGGGTGGCATGGGGCAGGGGGTCTGCAGTTCATGGTGGCTGCATACAGCAAGCCAAAACCAGCAAGAGAGAGAGAGACACACACACCTTCTTCCTGCCATTACATTACATGCTGGCTCCACCCCTATGTGGGTATAGTACTGACATTGGGGCTGAGGATTTAGCTCAGCGGCATAAGCGCCTGCCTTGCAAGCAGGCAGTCGTGAGTTCGATCCTTGGTACCGATAAAAACGAAAAAGACCAAAAAAAAAAAAAAAAAAAAAAAGCACTGACACCATCAATCCAAGTGCTAGACAATGAACCAATCACAAACGCATAATGCAAACGCATGAGCCCTGGGAGCCACTGACATAAACCATGACTTTCTACCCCAGGCCCCCAGGACTCATATACATCTTTGATACAAAAGACATTTAGTCCATCTCCAAGAGTTACCAAAGTCCTAACAGTTTTAGCATTGTTGAAAAGTCCAAGTAAAACTCCAAGATCTATGGCACTCTTAACTATAACCCTCTATACAAATGAAACAAGGTTAATCATTTCTGAAGTGCAAAGGCACAAGATAAACATTACCATTCCAAAAGTTACAAATAGGGGAGCATAAAGCATTGGAAACAAAGGAAGTCCAACATCCAACAGGGGGAACATTAAGTCATAGAGTTCCATGCTCAGCATTTGAAGCAATCTGGTTACAAGCTCCAAAAGGCTTGAGTGATTCCACCCCAACAGCACTTCCAGGGATGTCAGCTCCTGCAGCTTCTCTCTTAAATCCTCTCTGCTCATGTTTTGCAGCTTTCCTTAGATGATCCATGTTCCTGGCTTTTCCAAACTTCTGGGGTCTCCACTGCACCTTTGGCTTCATCCTTACATTTTTACAAATTGCCCTCTCAAGGGCACACTGCTTGACCTTCTAGGCCCTTTGCAATCAAGGTGAAAGCTGTCTTACACTCAGAATTTGTGCATTTTCCTTGCACCTAAAATCAGTACATGTAGATGCCGCCAAGGTTTGCTGCCAGCTGGAGTAGTAGCCAGGCTTTTCTCTCTCTTGGCTGTAGGGATTGATTGCCTGGATCACCGGGTTCTGTGAACCTGATTGTGAAGAAAAGATTCTCTATGTTGCCACCATTCTGGAACCTCATGTGGCCTCGGTTGCCATTCTGAAGCATGGGGAACCGCAGATTTCTCCTCTGAGCAAATTCTTTCACTTTTGAAGTTTTGAGCCTGCAAAGGGTGAAGACCCACTGCTTCCTGGGATGCCTCCTGGCCATCTTTCTTATCTCTCTCTTTCTTCTCAGCAATCAAAGTTTCAGCTCTATCTTTACAATCCACAACTTTACTGGAGTTTTCCTTCTGGCCAAACTCACAGCATTGTGAATTATCCTGATGGGCTTTTTGCTCTTGATTTGTAACATAAAGCTGGCTAAAAGCCCCCAACAATAGCCATGCCACAGCCTCAACATTTGACTGCCTTGAAATTTCCTTTGTCAGATTAATTAGTCCATTTCCCTTACTCTCAGTCTCAGGCAAAGTCTCTGGGCACGAGCAAAATGCAGACAAACTTTCTGCCAATCCATAACACACATTATGGGGAATCCAACAACCAATGTAGTCCTTCTTCCCTTCAGAAACCTCCCAAACCTGGTCTTTACCATGAGGCTTTCTATCAACCTTCTGGTCTCCTGAGCTCTGACCAGAATCTCCTCTACAGAACAGCCTAAGATGTTCCAGCTCTATGCATCCAGGCAACATGTCTGAACCTTTACAAACTCTGCCCACAGGCCATTTCCAAAGCCTCTCGAAAAACATGGTCAGGTAGAGTCACAGCAAATGACCCCACTCCTGGTACCAAATTGTGTCTTAGTTACTTTTTACTTGTCGCTGAGACAAAATACCTGAGGCCCAAAGTTGGCAGAGGAAAGGTTTATTTCTTACAGTTTTTGGAGGTTTCAGTCCATACTCAGTTGGCTCTGAGGCAGGGTGGCATGGGGGGGGGGTCTGCAGTTCATGGTGGCTGCAAACAGCAAGCCAAAACCGGCGAGAGAGAGAGAGAGAGAGAGAGACACATACCTTTTTCCTGCCATTACATTACATGCTGGCTCCACCCCTATGTGGGTGTAGCACTGACACCATCAATCCAAGTGCTAGACAATGAACCAATCACAAATGCATAATGCAAAGGCATGAGGCCTGGGGGCCACCAACATAAACCATGACACTGCCCCAAGCCCAGGTGGAGCATGGAGCCCTGCTGCAGGTTCAAGTGGCTGCAGATGGAAACTCCCAAGCCAGATGTCAAATACAGAGAGCTGATGGTATACAGACGCATGGTTTTAAAATGCCACCTAGCAGCTGTGGGAGGGGTATGAGGAGGCAGGAGAGCCTTGGAAGGGTGGCCAGTCCAATGTGTTGGCTGGTTTAGAGGGCAGCTGTGCACACACTGAGTGGAGAGGCCAGGACATGCTGTAGGTAGGTGTATGAGGGTGGGTGGTCTTGCAGGATATCCTCTTGGCCCAAGCTGCTGGTAGACAGGCTGCCCTTTGAAGAGCAGGAATCCTCGAGAAGCACAGCAGGTGGGA